CCCCGGCCTCGGCTCCCCCCGGCCCCAGCTCCTTGCATTACCTCCAGCTCCTGCCTGAATTCACACCCCTGGGAGGGACAGGATGTCCCCAGGCCCCGCCGCTCCCCGCAGGGCAGAGCTAGGGACACCCCCCCGCCATTATTTTGCACTGCCGCAAGCCACCCACCACACTATGAGAAACCCCCATGGTGGCCCCCAGTGCTCACAGAGACCGCTGGCCTGGGGCATCAGGCCAAGCTCCAATCTGCTGAAGCGGAGGAGGAGGGCTGGGCTAGGGGCCGGGTGGGGGTCCCCTCAATGCTCCAGCATGGGGGAACACCTCTGGGCCTGAGCTGTGCTGCAGGACATGTAGGCTCCAGCCACAGCTGATGGGTGAAGGAAGGTGCATTAGTCCCTTGGGGACTGGGGACCCCACCGCCCATTAGAGGGGTACCAGCAGCCCCTTCCCCACCACACGCCCACCCTAACCCTTTGAGGACCCCAAAGCAGAGAGCTCTTCTATAGGGTCCCCCTGGTGTTTTCAGCTCCTTGCTTGAGGAATGCAGGGCCAGGGCTGCCTCACTGCTCACAGCTACAGGATGCCCCGTCTGCATCTGCCCCAAGGGATGGGGACAGGTCCTGCCTTCCCTGGGGAAGTGCACATGCAGGGTGGGAGATTTGGGAAGGAGCAGCAGCCCTGGTCCCTCCAGGACGGGCAGCAGGGATGGCCATGAGGCTATCCTCCACCCAAGCACCAGCATGAGACCCACCACAACCCTCCTGGAGCTCAAGGAAAACAGCATTTAGGATCTCAAACACCAGCAGAACTCGCCTGGCCAGCAGGACCGTCTCCTCCAGGCTCGGCCCTGGCCTGAGCCCTGAGCGATAGCAGCAGCACGCAGGGCTTGGCACAGGCTCAGGGCAGTGCTAGGCTGGAAGGAATGTGGGGCTCATGGCCAAGTCCGCCTGGAGAGATAATCCGAAGCGGAAAGAGCTTGTCCGATGGGCGCTGCGAGAGGGGGGAAGGACTGACTGGAGGAGGCAGTCCCTGCTCATGCACTGCAAGGGGTTTGCTGGACCAGCTTTGCCCCATTCTCCATCTCCATAAAGCCATCGCTAGCACCAGGGAGTGCCCCAGGGACCCCTTCCTGACACCCCAAGGGGGATGGGGCCCCATGTCTCCCCAGTGCCCAGGGGAAGCCGGCAGAGGAGTGCACAGCAGGCTGCCGAGCCGCTGCCGGCCGCCGCTGGCTCCCTGCCCCGGGCTTTTTTCATCTAGAGACACAAAGGCACAGCTGAAAGCCTGGCACATCACAGGGAAAGACGACAGCCCTACAGCAGCAGACCGAGCCCGGTGGTGGGATGCCTCCGGGTGTCACTGGAGCAGCAGACCCCCACCCCACAACGAAGCGGGGTCGCCCACCATGTCCCAGGCAAGAGGCTTTGCCAGAGCTCATCTGCCCGTAAACACCCAGGAGGGAGGGGGACGTGAACCCAGACTCTGGCTAGGAAAATGGAGGCCTAACACCTCCACAGCTTGCCCATCTCTGGAGAGAGCAGGGGCAAAGCAGGAGCTTCAGGCCTCCTGATCACTTTGAGAGCCTGTAAACACTCACAACCCCAGCCTCATCCTGCGGGTACGCGCCTTTGGCTGCATCTCCCAGCTATTCTGTCATCCCTAGGAAATGCTGTGCTGCAATATCACAGCTGCTGAATCAGCTTCCCCAGGCAATGCGTGCTGGTTGGAAGCCCGGAGGAGACACGGCCAACGCTCCGTAGTGTCAGCCAGAGGCTCCCAGGGCTCCAGCCTTGCAGCCAGTGGTCTCGCACGCTCCTGGGTGTCTTCTCCGAGCACACCTGCCATCACTTGGCTTCTTTTTGCCACTGGGAGAGGGAGGATTCGAGGTACATGCTCCAACCTTGCCAACTACATGCTGGGGCTGAGCTGCATTTAGTAGGCACCCACCTGAGCTCTCTCCCCTCTGCAAGCAACAGAGGCCCTCCAGCAGCTACTGGCCTCAGGTGGCAGAGGTGACACAGAAAGGGCAGGGATGCTGGGGACACGAGCACAGCACACTGGTGCTGGTGGCTCAGAAGGGTCCTGCGGCAGCCGGGAAACAGGCAGAGAGCTGCCAGCACTTACGGCAGCAGTTAATTCCCTCCTTGCCAGCCTGCTCTTCAGGGACTCTCTGCATTCAAGCCCTGACAAGCAGAGGAGAATGGCACCTGCAGTAACATGGGGCTGGAAACACACTGGGTACTCCCATGGCCCAGCACGGGGGGTGAGAGCTCCCACTGCTCCAGGACTTCCTAAAGCAGAGGGAGATGGAGCAACTGCCGCAGAAACAAGTGTTTGAGGGAACCGAGCGAGTTATGGAAGACCCTTGACTAGGCTGCGTTGCTGACATACCCCAAGTGCTCCCGCCTAGGATGGGGTCCTGGAGGCAGCTCCTGGACTCAGAGGGCTGTTAACCATGACTCTGCATCCCGTACAGGAGCCAAGGGTGTGGAGCTGATCCCCTCAGATGCTGAGTGCAGATGTGCTTTGCATCCACCCTTTCCCTAGCAGCAGAGACCCCCAGGACCAGGGATTAGATACCTCCAACCTTTTCCAGCCCACTGTCTCCCCAAGCCCAGCCTGGGCAGTAGATCACAGAGGCATGGGCTGCAGGGCCTGGGAAAAACCTTGCCAATGCACTGCACATCGGTACCTCGAGGCAGCAGCAAGGCAGCGCTGCCCAGAGAGGCTCCGAGGTGCAGCCGTGTTTTTCCTGAGGAGCCCTCCCTGCTGCCTCCCTGCCTGCTGTGGCTGCCATCACACTGACCTGGAAAACAATCCCAAACGGAGACAGGATATAAATAAGCATGTCCTTGGGATTTCCCAGGCCAGGGAGTTTTGCAGGAAGGGGTGAGCTCTGTTGGGCAGCAGGCAATGAATTAGAGGCAACTCAAAACAGGACACCTCAGAGGAAGAGTTAGTAAGACACCCCAGGCCCTTACTGCTCCAGCCTTTTGTTGTCTGCTGACTTCACTTCCCCGTCTGGCGCAAGCGTGGGGAAAGCCCGATGATGACAGCATGTAAAGACGAGTCATCCTCCTCTGAGCACTTGAGTGTACGCAGCGGCGTGCCAAAGCCCCCACGTGCCAGAGCTCAGCAACTGTGGAACGGGAGCCAGAGGAGCAGCACGGAGACCCAGCTGGCCCCACCGCATGGCTGGGGCGGCCAAGGAGGGTTCAAAAAGATGGCAGCTGCTGCCAACCTGCTGCTCTTCCAAAGGTTGGGCATTAGGGAGTTGTAGACCCATATGGCGACCAAACTGTTGCTTTTTCTTAGAATCAGACAGCATGCATCCAAGTGCCTGTAGCCACGAGTGCACTTCTTCAGTGCCTCACCTAGGCAAACAATAACCAGCATGGTTCGTAGAGCAATCTCCTCGTTAGTCCAGATTATACTTATCCCCTGCCTGCTGCGAGCAGATGCTTGCGTGGCACTGCTACGACAGCGCTGGAGCTGGAACAACACTAACTGGTCATTACAGTTGCCCAGCCAAGAACCTAAATCTGTAACAACTGCCTCCTTTTAAGCACTAGCATATAACAACCCAGACCCACCACCAAGAAAGCTTCATGCTGGCTTTGTGCTTCTCTTAAATATATTGCAATAAACATTCTGGTGCTTCTGTTTATGAATCCAGTCCCAGTTTGCTTCGCACTAGCTGTAGTGACTTGCATTTCTCCTCCTTCAGAGATGGCTCTACCTACCATCTAGCCAGGCTTGCTAAATGTTGTTAAACCTCACCAGCAAGACGATGGTTATCTAACACCATAGAAACACGCTGCCTCTTTCCATGGCCCAAAGAAGAATTCAAAAGTCCAGCAGCAGAGCACCCCGAAACAAAGCAGTACGTAGTGTTTCCTCGTTGCCTAGAGTAGCACGCAGCAGGGAACGAGCCACAAACCTGCAGCAAATGCAAGCTCTCCAGCTCAGGTTTGCAAAGCGCCATTTCAAGGCCATCCAGGAAAGACTTCAATAGAAAGTCAGCAAGGCTATGAAAGGACTCCTAGAGTACAGGGTCTCCTGCCCAAGGAGCCAGGGAACCACATCCAGAGGCTCTTTAATCCAGCCCTAGCTTTTGAGCACAACGCCCAAGCTTTTAAGAACAAGCTAAATCACATAATTAAGATAAAAGCTAATAGTCAAATTCAAGACAGCTACCAGTCTACTTACAAACTAAGATACTCCTATCATTCAAAATGTTAAAAAAACCAGTTGTATCTGCATATCAACACTTGAAAGGACTGCAAGTCAGGGAGTAATACCATGGAATAAGGTAAAAAGTACCAAGACTGAGTATGACTGAATATGCTACTGCACACTGCAGTTTGATGGAGACACGTATGTTCCCCAGCCAACTTCAAAAAAGGTGGCAACGCTTCAGGGGCCTCAGATCAGGCAGGCTCCCTGCCACTTTTCTGCACACCTACGTTTTGCTAACTAAGCCCAGGAGAGACCAACACCTTCTCCCCCAGCTCAGTCAAGACCAGCTCTCAAACCACCCATGCTCCTCTGAAGCCAAGCCCCAGTCCTGGGCATCTGCCTGGCACTCCGGTTTCAAGGCTCACTGCATCACGCAGCGAGTAACACCTTGTTTTTCAGTTCACTGGACAAAGTTTAAGGATGAAAGCATTTACTTAAAATTCAGATTTGTAGTAACATTATAAAGTTTCCAAAAAACAAGCAAACAACAAAATACATCAAGATTATACTTCCTAGCCCAGCATCTTTCTTATCTTTCTCTGGGTAAGCTAGAGGAAAGCACCGTTAGCTTTAAATGGTACCCCTTCCTCCTGCCATGTCCTGGAAAGGGGCTGAGGACAGAATGCAAAAACTAAGACATCTGCACCATATCATTCTGCTCCCATCTCCATTTTTAAAAGGTCTTTTCCAGCAGCCCCTCCCCAAAACACTATTTCTTCTCTCAATAAGGAGACAAAACACTGCAGGCAGTATAATGCGTAATAGCATTTGGAGTACTACAGGCAACCTTTAAAGCACAGTTAAAGCTGTGTTCCTACATAGACTTCCCTCCATTGATGCCGCTCCCACCGGAGCGGCGCCAGCACGCAGCAGGCAGTGGTGTCCAGCAGGGGCAGGGCTGCACTCCAAAGCAGGACGCTAGCAGCACACACGCAGAGGTGACCAGATTTCCTTTCAGCTCTCCCTCTGGGTTCATGCACCGCGTGCTGTAGCAACGTACGTTTACAATCGCTTCTGGCAAACACTGCAAGGCACATTAAAAGAGCATTTTCATTATGCTGCAAAAACAAGGTCTTTATGGTTCTTACTACAAAGATTTGTAATCCATATTTGAATCAAGTGTGAACTGCCCAAACACTCAAAATGCATCCAAACCAGTGCTGCCAATCCCCTCTTTGGCTGGGATTCTTGATGATCTTAAAAATTTTATCAGAACTACAGGCTGAGCAGGAGTATTTCTGGTATGCAAGAGCTGCCTGGTTATACCCATCACATACAGACCGAGCACAATGGTTACGCTCTGGAGTGCTAAAATCAAAGTGTGAAGGCACAAGAATAGCTGACAATAAGGAATTCTGGTATTAAAATAGGGCTTAGCACTCCTGCGGGCTGGCAGCTCATCCCACCAGGCAAGAGTAGTTAAATCTGTTCCTCTGACACCATTGGTTTCTCCTATGACGCTGGGAGAAGCTTGAGTTGGACCATCTGAGAAACGAAACCTAGGTTGTCCAATGTCTTGAACATGTGAGTAGGTAAAACCTGGAGTTGCAAGAGGAATTGCTGTGGGTGTGCTGGCATCCAGGTCGGACACCACTGCTACAGTAGTCTCCCAAGATGATGTCAAGCGCTCCATCACAAGAGAAGTTGAAGCCTGGGAATAGGTTGAGCGGAATGTCTGGTATGTAATGGCTGTGGTTGGCAGGCATGTCAGGTGATGATCAGCTAGAGCCACCAGAGAAATATTCTGTAGTGCCAGTGGGCTGTCACACATTAGAGATTGCACATTTTTAACTATCTCCATGCTCTTCTGGAGCCACTCCTGGAAGCCAAGAATTTGGCAATCGCATTTCCACGGGTTGTTGTCAAGGAAGACTTCTTGCAGCTCAGGTAAAGCAGTAAAGAAATCTCCAGGAAGAGACTGCAGCTTAGTACTATTGAGGTAAACCTTCTGAAGGTGCTTGAGATTATGAAAGAGGTTTCTAGGAAGAGCCTCAAGCCTCGACTGAAAAAGGGAAATGTTCTGTAGTTTCTGAAGGCTCTGGAAGATGCCCTCTGGCAGACTGGAAATATTATTTGTATGCAGAGAAAGGCCCCGCAGTTCATTCAGACCACTGAATACATTCTTAGGAAGAACACTAAGCTCCGGATTAAAACTCAGCACAAGAAGCTCTAAATTTGTCAAGTTACTGAACACAAAATCTGGTATTGTTGAGAGCTTTGTGTGATACAGCCACAGGCTACCAAGATGCCTCATTTCTCCAAATAATACTTCTGGAAGAGACTTCAGCGGGTTGCTGTACAAGGTCAATTTAGACAGGCCATGCAAGTGCAGAAAGAGCCCAGTAGGCAAAACTTCAAGCTTGTTTCTGGAGAGCGTTAGGCTTCTCAGTTTATGAAGACTATGAAATGCATCATGGGCGATGGACTGGATGTTATTAGAATGCAGGAAGAGTTCCAACAGCTCCTTCAGGCTATCAAACATACCAGACTCTATTGAAGACAGCCTGTTAAAATACAGCATCAGCTTCTCAAGCCTGGTTAATGCACTAAATATATTTCTAGGCAGTGCTGCCAAACAGTTTCTTGACAAGTTCAGTACTTTGAGTTTGGCAAGTTTCTTCAGCACGCCACTAGGAAGTGCTGTTAGTTGGTTTTTGTTCAAAAAAAGCTCCTCCAAACTAGCTAGTTTGCCAAACGCATTTTCTTTGATGGATTTCAACCTGTTGTTTTCAATGATTAATTGCTGAAGCTGTACCATGTCATCAAACACTTCTGCAGGAAGTTCCACCAGCTTATTATCCAGCAACTTCAGGGCTTTTAGCCTTCCCAAGCCTTTAAAAGCCATCGGTGAAATCAGAGAGATGTTGTTTGAAGACAAGATGAGATGCTGCAGTTCCACCATCCTAGAAAACACGTCCTGCAAGTATGTTACATTAGTGTCCGTTATGTGAATTTCTGTCACGTTGCAAGGCAGATTTAACGATTCCAGGTCTTTTATGTGGGGACCAGAGCAATGAATTGCATTTTTTGAAGGGCAGTTGCATTTCTCAGGACAAATAGTTGCATCCAACTGGAAGAAAAGCTTGATCATCACCGACAAATGAAACACCAACATCCTTGCTGCGGTGCCAGAAACATTAGCTGTTGAGATAAGAGAGGGTCAGGATTTGATCACAGGTACTTAATAACTTAGCAGCCGACAAAGTTATGTGAATGTATCATAAAACCTGCAAACGTGTGCAAAATTTCTCTTGGCTTGAAAGCAAACTTCAAAATCTCTATTACTGTTGACTGCAAATATTTCTAAGGTGCTCAGCTTAAAATGAGAAGTACAGAAAAAGCTCTTTTATAAATCAAATGTTCCCTGTTTCTATTTGTACTAATCAAGTATAATAAAAGCACATGAAAATCATGATGAAACTCTAAGCAGTCATAAGGCATATATTTATTTGAACAGAAAAGCATTATACTAAGTTACAGACAGAAAGTCTTTAAAAAAAAATTATCAAAAGGTCACGCACCCACAATATTTTTTTATTGTAGGTTACCCGAGGTTTAAAAATAAAGTTTAGCCTGCAAAAATAGATAATGGAGGTAAAAAGGGTGCCCTATATTTTAAGTGGCCAAAAGAAAAACAGCACACAGTTCTGTTAAATCATCTCTCAGCATTTGCAAGTGATCGCTTCTTGGAACAGCCCAAGAACACACAAGAAGCAACAGGCTATTTTTGACGTAGGCTGAAATAACACACACAAGCTCATGCAGCACAGGACAGTAGTGGGCGTCTGATAACCAACAAATCTCATTTCAACCGGTTAACACAATATAAGTTATCAGTGGTATTAAAGTTACAATTAAATGAGAGGAAAGAAACACCAGGAGGTTTGCTAGAAAGCTGCACCAGTCAAGGTAGATCTGCATGAAACATACCGCAAAGTTGGAAAGTTGTATAGATTTGCAAACACAAAAAAAGGAACAGAAAAGCAATCATTGTAGCTATAACGATAATATTTAAAAGACCAAGTGAAACAGAAATCCTCCACAGTTTAGAAATACTTCCTTAGTGAAATCAACAAGTTCAAGTGTATCAGAAACCTGGAAGTCAAGCACCTGGCTGATCAGTAGGAGAAGCAGCAGCTGGGACCACTGGAATGGCTGGACAAGTTCTGCAGACCCAACTGGAAGAGCTGACACCGTGCCAGTGAGCTGGAACTGGAAGAGCTGACACTGGAGAGAGGAGGGCTCCATCCCAACATACTAGGGGCAAGGATGAAGCTGTCCCATACCAGCTCCACAAACAGACATGGGTACAAACACCATCACTTAAAAAGGAGCAAGTCGGGTCGGAGAGCAGAGCTTCTCACATGCCTGAACTGCTGACAAGAACATACCACCATGGAGCAAGGACAGCTGCTGCTTAAAAAAAAAGCAAAAGAGCACTTTAAAAAGAGATTCTTGGTTAGTTTCAGAGTACTGAAGACTGGTAAAATCTGCATCCCTTCCTCAGGACCTAGTGGTATCAACTACCAGCTATATGGTGCTGCAAAGCAAGCTCTCACTGGGCTTTCTACAACTCTTTGAATGAGACCATAAGTCATCAAAAAAAGGCCTTGAGATTTCACCCTTGCAAAGGACCTTTCCAATGCTGAAAAAGAATGTTTCAGAGAATCTCACCCTCCCAAGTAATCCCCTCCCACCTGACTCCAAAACTGGCCATCTCACATAAACCAGTGACACCTTCACCTCAATCAACTCATAAGACAGCCTGTCCCTGATCCTGCCTGTTCCCACCTCAGCACGCTGCTGAGAAGCACATCCCTGCACACCCAGGGCAAGTACCTCAGCCCACAGAGCAGGCAGCCAGCGAGCTGCTTCTGGGAGATGCATGAGCACAACCCTCCACGCGGGGCAGAACAGCACCAAGAAATTTCTGTTTCAAGCCCTGACTGGCATCTCAAGCTGCACCAACTCAACTCAAGACCATAGCAGAACTACAGGATTCAGTGAGACAAGAGAAATAAGGATCTAGAGAATCAAATGGCGAAAAAAAAGCCCCAAATTGTTATGATACAGACTGCAAATGCAGGTCTGTCAGAGGGCACAACTGCAGGCCAGAGTCTGTAAAATAAGCAACAGGCTAACGCAAGTCTGTAGACCAAGGAAGTCCATTTTCCTGGTCTCATAAGAAAAGGTAAGGGAGCATTCAATGAGACAAGGTTTAAGGGAGCATTCAATGAGACAAGGTTAGACACTCAGAAGTGCTAGAAGACATACCTTTTCACAAAAAAACAACGGAATGGAAGAAATTCTTTGCAAGAGATTAAGGCCAAAAGCATATGACTGGCACAGGAACTGGATAATCCTATGGATCTCAAACATCTGGAGCTGCTAAAGTTATCTTTTGAAGAAATAGTTAAAGTTCCATTATTGAAGATTTTAAGAGTTGAAGATTTTAAGAGTAGAGAATACAGTAAAATCCACATAAGGGTCATACTTATACATTCCAATATATTAAAATTCTCTCAAACCCTCACACGCCTTTCCAGAAAGGACACCAGCCTGGCCGGTCATTTACTATGTTCTGGTCTACAGCCTCTTTC